TAGCTATTCATCAGCTGAAATTACTGAAAGGGCTAGAAAATTCAGAGAAAAGTTATTACTTGTGAGTTGTGTCTGTGGTTTCGTAAGCATTGGTTACTTCACATGTAGGATGACTGTCAGAATGAATCAATGGAAAAAGACAAAGTTCCTGATGCCTCTTTGCAGAAGCACAATAAGTATTGAATATTTGATATATTACATGTAGTTTGTTTTTTAGTAAAAAGAAAAGGCATAGTTCATCCAAATCAAGGTCTCCTGATCGTGCAAGGTTTTGATTTATTATTTTGTAGTTTCTTTACTTTTTTATTTACAGAAAACGTTCACGGAGTCGTAGTCCACGTTCTTCTAGGCATCGTTCTAAATCTCCTCGTTCTCATCGGTAAAATTAATTTTGTGTCTTTAGTTTATTAGTTACCAACACAGTCACAGATCTCGTTCACCTCGGTCACACAAGGAACACACTCGAACCAAAAGTCCTGTAGCTCATAAGAGTAAAAGACAGAAACATTAATATTTGATTATAGTTTTCTTTTTGTTTATGTGTAAAATATTTTTTGGACCAACGCACTTGAGTGTTGTATTCTGATGTTGGATTGAAATGGAGGACGCTGAATCAACTGTGGAAACAATATAGATCTAAAAGCATTAATATTCTGGCAATGTTTTAGTGAAGCAGCAATTATCTAAAATTATTGTGTAGTGTTGCAAAATACTTCGAAGAGTTTTCAAAAAACTTAGTGACACCTCTCAACAAATATAAAGGAAGCAGCAGCAATACAATGTGTCAATAATAATCAAAAAGTAATGCAGAAGAAGAGCTTACTGACTACCCCGGTATTATACAGATGAGAAAATTATGCCTTCTGTATCAGTTACTAAATGACCCAGAGACCTATGTAGATGTAGTGTAGATGAATTCAGTGATACTTTTATAGTATTTATATATAATTGGGGCCGAATGTGAATCAATATAGGAGGACTGCCACATAATATACACTTGCCTTAACCAGCCTTGAGCAAGTTTTGAAAAAACGAAAAGCTATAATAGATCTAACACATGAAAATCTTTAATGAAATATTGTCAAAATACATGTGTCTCATCATCATCCTTAGTCCAGAATGAGGCTGAAGGTTTTCAGGTGAAAAATCCAAGGTTTTACATAGCAAGTGCAAAAAACTGCAATGGTGTGTTTAATATAATAATTAGCTAGTGCCACAGCAAGGTTGTTACAATCAAATGTCATATTTTGACATAATGTAACCATTTTACCGATTTACAGGGCTTGAAAAAACAAGAAGCTGTCCCAAAAGAACCAGTCATGGCCAAGTGGCAAGCAAGGTGTAACATTACAACGTACACAGTTACCATTACTACTTTGCTGGGTGGACTGTATATAAGGTTCAGGGTCTATCTCTTGATGCTGCTGTAATCGATCTAGGCCCTAAAATGTTTGAAGATGGAATGGCATACGCTGCCTAGTAGAGTAAGAATACTCCTAAAAGTTGCTTTAAAGAAAATCACATCATCAAGAGTGGCAAATGATGAAATGTATAGACTAAGGAGCAATAGATTATTGTGATGATGTGCATTCTGGGATAGTCAAGAGATGTTATGCTAATACAAATTAAAACCACAAAAGTGTTGTGGTATATAGTAGTGATACACAACTTGTGACTCTATCTTAATAATGGAATGGAGATTGGGGACGGTAGGTGAGCCCATAAGTAAAATCTCACTCTTGTATTTAGTATGAGCGAAGATACTAACAATAAAATCCAGCTCTTTTGAGTGGATATAAGATAATATTTTGATTACGTATGACATTCATGATTTGAGTGTGTATATATATATATATATATATATATATAAATGAATTACATCTTTGTATTATATGCATGTACATGTATTATTTATTGGATGCTCTATAAATGTACAGTATTATGTTCACAAATATGTGCATATAATAATGTAAATATAATGTACATGATGTGCATGTAATGTGTTCCTTTGTATTGTGCTTAATGTATAAATGGTCATGTGTGCATAATAGATGTATATGTATGCATGTACAATGCATGTCCTTCTCTCTCTCTCTATCAAACAAAATCTCGATCTATGGAATTAATCTTGATCTTCTGTGTGATAATATGATCAACAAAATCTCACTCTTTGGAGTGATGATGGATCAATAATAATCTAGTGATAATAAGATCAATATTCTTGCTCTTTGCATTGAGTGCATGATATGATCAAATTATGTGTATCATGGTTTGTATGTGCATAATTGTGTTATGTGTTAGTACGCATGTCTAAATATGTAGTAATGCTTAAAATTAGAATAAACTTGAGTTGTAATGGCTAATAATGGTCAATGATTATGATGCTTAGGAATAATGCACATGAGTGAAACACACAGTGGTGAAAACAATTTTAGGAATTTTTTACACTAATATGCTTGCTTATTTATTAATGACCGGAAAAGTGTATGCATCAGGTGATTACCTAGTCACTAATGTGCAATATCTACATCTATGACACATGAGAAACAATAAATTACATAAATAAAATAACAATAACAAAAAGTAACAAAAACACTAAAAACACAAATAACTATAATTTTACATGTAAAATGTTCAACGAAATATGTGTGTGCATGCATTGATCATTACTCAGCGCGATTCGGAGTCAGACTTTGTTTCCACAATCGTGCTGTTTCAAGAAGTCTCCTCAAATTAGAAGAGACAGACACTGAAGAATCACTAGAATCACAAGGAAGACGACCGTAAGGAATATGTCTAACGTCATATTCTCCTTGTTCTATTTCAAAGTCAATAAACGACTTACGCAACACTTCAGGCATGTCCATAAAAGGTTGCTTGATAGCCAAGTGATAAATGGCTCGGGAGCGATCCACATCTCCCAAGTCCCAATATGGCCTCTAACTCTGCATATTTGATCCATGTAATAGAATTTCCAGGATCATATTCCAAGTACTTCGCATATATCTTTCGAAAACGATCAAACTCCAGCAATTGAAGCTCTAACTCTATGTAACCTTTGAAGAGCTTTCGCTTTGGACATTTACCAATGGCTGTCCCCAAGACTTTCCTTGCAGTAGCCAACTCCTTCTGTCGAATTTCAAATTGGGCATACAGCAGCCACACTTTAGCAAAAGTAAATCGAGTGTGAGGAACAATATTTACACAAGATTTATAAACTTCTCGAGTTCGATCAATATCATTAGCGATTAGCTCTTCATACAGAGCATAATTAATCCATAAATAGATGTATCGCTGCCAATATGTCTTCTCTTGAAGTGGAGGTACATTGGCAATTGCACGCTCATATAAATCTCTTGTTGACTCCAGGCTTGCATTAGATTCCAATAATCGTATGTAGTCAAACCATGCATCATAATTACTTGGATCTTTAACTTTGTCTTCATACTGAAACTTACGCTTATTAATCACTGCATCTTCATTGCCAATTCTGTCTCCATACTTTTTTTCAAAGTGGGTATAAGCTTTGAATAAATCAACAGCCCGTGGCTTAGGAATTTTATCCAGTGCATACTTAAATATGGTATGTGAGCGCTCGTATTCTTGACAGCTTTCTTCAAATTGGGCAAAAGCCATGTATAACTTTTCATCCAACCCTTCATCTCCAAAGAATTCAGTAGCCCTTTCGAAAATATTCCTCGCATTATCAATGAAACCCTGACTTTCTTCAAACCTAGCATAACAAATCCAATTCTTTGTTTCTGAATGAACCAAAATAAATCTTTCATATATCGATTGTGCCTTATCAACCTCCTTATAACGTAGCTCCATTTTGATATATGAGAGCCATGCCTGTTCCTCTGGTTCCCATTCCATTTATCTTTCAAAAACTCTTCTTGCATTTGGAATGTTTCCCAGCATCTCCTCCATGTACGCATATTTGAACCAAAACTGATTGATACGAGGTAAAAGGGTGACTGCTCTGTCCCATATATTTCGTGCATGATTAATCTGCTTATTCTTCATTTCCATCTCGGCGTACTTCAGCCATAAGGTGATACAGCGATGATCAACGTCAAAGGCACACTCATAGATAGAGCGTGCCCTATCATATTCTTCCTGTGTTTGCTCCCATTGAGCATATTTCATCCAATTGGACACAACACTACGGTTTTTCCTAATATTTTCTTCAAACATTTTCCTTCTGGTTAACTGTAATTGTTGCAATTCTTCAGGGTCAGCGGCCACTTTCTGTCTCGGATGTCAAGCTACTCTTTCTACATTAACTTCTTGCAGTAGTTGTCCAGAGGTTATCTGTGCCTCTGATGGCCTCTTGTCCTCAACTTTTGGCATCCTACAAAGCTACAATATTATATTATTGTATCTATGCTACCAAGAGTATTATCTACTCTTGATGCTACAACGATACAACAGATACGAAAGTACATGTCACGTATGGCTTGGGCACGTGATACCACGTGACACAATCACGTGATTAAAGTTATAATTAAAGGTCTAAGACTTAAGTCACAGCCTAAAGGTGGGCATCCACTATGCTTGCACTTGTGGTTAAACCTTTGATGTCGTTGGGCAACATGCTGCATGAAGTAGAGAGAGTCTCAACTTCATGCAACATGTTGCATGACCACATCAAAGGTACAGTAGGTACTTGCAACAAAGTTGCATAGTGGATGCCCACCTTAAAGATGAACAGTCATTTGATGAAGTAAGTACATGTAGATATTTAGTATTACATGTATACACATGTTAAATGCTACGGTTTTAGTCCTACAGTACAGTGTCTATGCAGAAAGTTTAGCTTTAAAACTGATTTTTTGTTGTGCACAGTGTGATGCTTGTTTGCATATATCAGCTGTAATTTCATTAAAAACATTAAAAGTTGCATATGAGAATGTAATGGCAGTTTGAGATGTAGGTGGTACAAATGCAGATACTAACTCAAATATATATAGCACAATTGTACTTCTTAGTATATAAATCATGTGTTGCTATAGTATACAATACCTATTACCAAACTTATGTAACAGAACTTCCATTCTAATGAAACCTTGCTCCATTGTCTTATAAATTTTGAAATGAGGAATGATGTAAATCATAAAAGTTATTTATAACTTTTTACTAACAAAATAACAATTGTCATTAACGGCACTCCATTTTTGTTTTATCAACATTACTTAGGTATTTTGTATGCAGTATGTGCTATTGATAACATCAATGCAAAATGTATGAAAGCAGTTTAAGCATGTTTTGTTAGTCTTCGTTTGCTTGTATAATTTTAGCATGTAGGGTGGTCGTAACAACTGTTATTAGCAAAACAGCAAAGAACAATAAAAAGAGAAGGAAGAAGGGATTTAGAGAGAAAAGAGAAAAGGAAGGAAGATTGGGAATAGTTCTTAAGAGAGATGAGGGAAAGAGAAGTTACAGAAATGATAAAGATAATGATAACAAAGAACTCTGACAACATATGAGATTGACTCACACTACTAAAATTCAGTTCTCTAAGAGTGCAGTGAGAGCAATGATGAGACGAATTGTTGAGTTGATACTTGATAGTAGAACGAGACGAAGACGACGAACGAACGAACGACTAGACTGACTGATTAATGTATGTGTGTATGTATATTAAATAGTTGTTGACCACGTGTAAACTCGTGGTTACTATAATGAATAACAATGAGCTTATAACCACCACAAGCACAAATGTAACAATTGAGATTTTTGTAAGTGAATTGGACTTTACTACATAGTCCTCACCAATGTTAACTGCTGATGAGGGCAATAGATGCAACAAAAATTCCCCACCTAATTTAATGAACTTGCATTGACATTCAAGCTATGTGACACATTTTTGGCATTGAGCTTACTTTGAATTCTATCCTTATGTTATGTTAACAGTGGCCATGTTATATAAGTGATGTGTTCATCAGTGTGCAGTGTGAGTTGGCCTTTTACTTGGTTCAAGTTTTTGTACATACATACCAACTCGTACTCATCACATGCATGAATCAATTAAAACAGGATACAAAACAAAGTAATTGATGCAACATATTAAGGGCTTTGCCACTCATTACAGCCTAAAGCACCTGTACAAACATAAAGCTGAGTTACATGTACATTTCCAGTTACATATGCAGTATAGGTGGTAAATATTCAGCAGACTATCATGGGGCATTTTAGTTTTATGTTTAGTTTCCTTAAAAATTAAACTAACAATAAAGTAACAATTATTATTTCAAATAAACTCATACAGATCTAATGTGAGAAGGAGATATTTTTGTCTAACATCTAACAGATCTTCTAGCAGATCCTAACAGTAGTTAATAATTATCATTAGTATTATTAATAGCCATCAAAGTTAATTATGAGACATTGATGCAAATCTGTGGAGTGACGATGGCAGAGTTGCATGTAGCTGTTTTCTTTGAATAACTTTACGTTGCTCATTCATCTGCAAAGAAAGAAATTATAATAAAAATGCATACATTGTATGTTACTTTATCTCTAAGATCAGTCAGCTGATGTGACAGAACTTTAACTAGACTAGTAGCTTCAAGCAATTGTTTTTGTAACTCTTTCATTTCATTTTGTTCTTGCTCTGGCTCTTCAATATTTAATGACATGCACTTAAGTCGAGGGAACCATTCCAAATTAGCAGATGCACTCTATTGAATGAGATACATTGTAAATATAATTACTCACAAAATTAAATCTTACTCTATTCTCAATGTGTCCTTTTATTTGATCATACACATAACTTTCAGGCCCAGTCAGTTCGGTTTTCTCCTTCATTCTTAAGTGAACAACGAAGTACAGATAGTTCCACATGTTATGCTCTTGTTCACAGTGTTCTTTAAAAGTAATATGCTGGTTCTCAAACCTAGTTCGATCCAATCCTGCAAAACAAGCAGTACAAGTGCATATCAATTTATCAAAACAGAACTAGTCACTAACCGCATATGAAACAAGTGTTCTTTAACATGTTATCAGTTGCATTTTTCTCAGCTCGTAATGTGGCAAAGGTGTCAATTATTACACCAAAGATTAGATTTTGAATAATAATGACAATAACCAGAAAAAAGAATGAAAGATCATAAATAAGCCTAAGCAAGTATAACGGTTCCTGGAAAGGTATAATAATTATAGCCGAAACAAGAAAAGTACTTACTATGCTAGACGGCTTACGAATAACATCACCAATACCTCCACCAGACCTTACTCCATCTCTAACCAGTGTTAATAGACACATCATCAAAGTATCACAACTAGGCTCCAACTGTACATTCCAACCACCTTCTTTGCTGTTGCAATGATCAGAATCACAAAAACCATCAGCTACAGAAAAAACATCATGATAGTCATTGCTTTAATTATAAAATCTTACTTAAATTGCTCACAAGAGCTATGGGGTGAGTCTCCATTAAGAAATCCTCAGATAACAACATGTAACCAAGGATTGCATACAGATAGACCAAGATTAGAGCCAATGTAGTAGTCAAAATAATCGATAAGAAATTTCTTGTTAAGCTACGCATGACACTTTGTAACATTTCTTCACGGTACACTATTTCAAATAGCTGCAACAGAAATTAATAAAATATCAAGCATTAAAAATTGATGAGGTTTACCAATAGAGAGTAAAAGAATTCATGCCAAATCCAACCCAATAAACAAAGGACAAGATTGAAAGAGTGATAGACAATTAAATGGTCTTTTAACAGTAGCTTAAAACTACTAAGTTGATTAGTAAATACTCCTCTATTGCCTAAGGCACTAGCTAAATAAACACATTTTATTACAACCTAAAAAATTAAAAAATAAAATTTGCAAAAATTACCACCAGCACAGACCTGGAAAAATCCCATGAAAAACAAGGTAGGTTTTACTCCAATAGTAAATAATGTAGAAACGATAGCAAGTGAGCCTATACTAAACCAAGCTCTCTTTTCATAACGAGAGTTACGAGCAAAATACCAAAATAACCCAGAAAGTGCTGAAAAAATGAGGTACATGAACAAAACAGACCAGTTCGATGTTTTTTCTACCGAGATAAAATATAAATATGCAATTCAATATCAGATAACTAACCAATGTATTTATTTCCTTTACCAAAAGGATAAAATAAGATAACAATAAAATTGATGACCACAGCAAGGTAGAAAGATAATGAAGACCAGTTTACAATATTTTTTGACATCCAGTATTGAATTGAATGATCTGTGAAATAATATAATATTAGATTGATGATCACATAAAAGCTTCGATTCATAACACAGTACATGTACATATACAATTAGGCCATGGGTGTAGACATGCATCAATGACCAATTGTGTAGAATGCAAGTATTGACAAACAGATTTATACATGTACATAGCTGTACCTCTAAGAGCCTGTTGACAAAGCATTTCTTCATATAATGAGTCCATGTGATTAAAAAAATCTTCGACCTGCTCAGCAATTGTATAATTAATTAGAATGATGCAGGGCATACCTTGCTACCTTGAGTGTCACACTTTGTTACATGTCTTACATGATTTTGCGATTCTGTTGTCAAAAACTTACAAATTTCATGCTTAGGAAAAACAATTCGTTCCAAACTTCTGTCAGCCCGAACAATCTAATGAGAATGATAGGTTAAACTTAAAACTGGACAAAAACTGACTTCTATCTGAGCTGTATTTGCTGCATAGAAAGACACAGCATCATTAGGATCTTTCACTGCCTTGTCTAGTTCTAACTGAAGTGCTCTATTACTAGTAGCAAGCTACAATAAAGATACAATCACAATACAATTAGAATAAATAAACTGCACCTGATGAGCTAAAATATATATGTTATGCCCAACTTCAACAGGTGAATTCTCATTATCATCACTGCTACCACTTTTATGAAGTGTACGGCAGATATTGACCTAAAAAGCTATTGATACACATGTACACTCAATGCATTTTACTAAAGTTTCAGGTGAGCCAATTTTTAAAACAATCCTTTCAATAATGTCCGAATCATGATGGCTTTCCATTACAGCCAAAAGAGTTTGGCTCGCTGTTTTCTGAAGTACAAACATATTATTATGATGTTATGAATATTAATACTAATACTTTAAGCTGTATAGCCAAGTCTTGGTAATTTTCTAAAGCAGTCAGTTCAGTTTGAATAAGAGCAACAACTATATCAATGCCGCTTGACTCATTTGAAGAAATACATTTCTACATACGCATAGTAATAATATTATTAAAGCATTAAAAGTAAAGCAGCATACATATAGGTACATGTACCTGATTATCATGACAAGGTCCTTGACAATACTCAGTTAATGTAGTGAGGCATTGATCAATAACTTCAACATTCTCACAGTGAATATATAAGCTCAAGAGTACCAAACCACCAGTCGTAATGCCACATATGCAATCTAGGAATTGCAGCGTTTCCAGTATTAAATTTTTACTATTTTTGCTGTTAGTTTGATGACGCAGGTAGTTCTGTTGTAGGACAGTATAAGATTAAGATCCAAAACTGCAACAATTATGACCACAAACCTGCATTTCTGAGTTATGGTTCTCACAAAAGAGTTGTAGCAATCTCAACAATGGTTTCATTAGTTTCAGCTCAGGAGTGCTCATAACATTATGACCAGCCATGACATTTACACTTGGACCTGGACCTGTATCAGACCTAGACTCTCTTTTTGGAGTACTACGTCGACTCAATCCTTCAGTATTAGCTGCAACCAGTGTTAACTGATCCTATACATATTCATGTACATGCATGCATAAAGGCAAAAAGTAGAGCATCATTAAATATAGAAATTGATAATTTGTAAGAAATAAAATAATGTCTGTCATTCATGGTGCAGTAAAAGTGCAAATATTTGCTCATAATATTACCTGAATATCTAGAGATGTAACTGTTCCCCCAGTTGATTTACGATCTTGTACCACTACCAAATTCGTAGCCCCATCAGTTTCTGTTATAATTAAACCAGTAGGAGAGTTTTTCATTTCATTTTGTGCCATTTGAAACCGCCGATATATTTCATTGAAGAAAAGCTCAGAATCACATGTACAAAGTAAATCCCACATAGTTCCCTATAGTTAAAGTAAAAGTGTCTACATTGTACATTATCATTAAACCTGAACAATTGTATTTCCATTATTTAAAAGAGCTACAGCAAGATTGACAGCTGACAACATGACGAAATGACTAGGCGAAGACTTGATGATATTAACAACCAGTTTTGTTACATGGCATTTATTTAACTGGTTCTGCACTACTTCCAATGTGACTGATTTATCTCCAAGAGACACTAACAGCATATCATCTTGCATTGATGAAAATGGATCTTCAGAAATAGTAGCAAGCTTAGCTAACATGACTACACTTTGTTTCCTTTCAGACTTATGACGTTGCTTTGTAAAATGCTGTTTATCCAAGAGATAGTTAGTGAAGTAGACTTTAAGCAGATGTGATCGTAATTCCATGCCCTAATTAAAATTACAAGTACATGTACATGTACATGACATGACAATTATGAAAATGAAACTCACTGATTCCGAAAGTTCTATGTCTTCAGTCATCATTTTAGTAAAATAGTGCATCATTGAAGAAATAAAAAGCTCATCCTCTGAAAATACTTTGTGCTCCATGTGACTTACAATCCTATAACACAGTGATAAAATATAGTTGATGGTTGATGTAGTTACACTGTAGTTATTGTTACAAATTTATACAATTATAAACTATAATTTGCATTTCTGATTGTGGGTATACATGTTGGGTAACTGGTATGTCAATTAGTGTGGTGACTGTCGTCACATTTGTAATAGCACAGAGAAATAAAATTGCAAGCAAATTCACAAAAATGATACAGAAGGTTTATAGTCAACATAAAAGTATAAAATGTGAGGAAGATACATGCATGACCTCTAATGGAAATAGAGCTTAGAAGTCTTTGCAAAAATAGTATGTTCTAATTCTGTGCAGCAATTTGTGACAAATAAAAACCAACAGAAGTGCCATGCAGTTATTGAGTTCAATTGCCAGTAAACATCTTTATTACAAATGTGCATTGTACAATCAAACCTTGAAAGGAACTTCTTGGATGCTTGTTTGAAGGCATTGGTGCCACGCTGAAACAATGCCTCTGGATTGTACAAAATATTAACTAAAACTGATTCTTCAGCTTCAATAAGACAATCCCAAGTTTCATTTAACTCTGCTACAACATTCTAAACAAAATTTAAAACTTTCACATAAAGCAAAATACAAACCTGGACTCCACCAATGATGTGCTTATTCTTTTCCTCAGTTTGAATTCCACTAACATCCAATGTCCATTCAGATAACTGCTTCTTTTCTTTATGTTTATGAAGCCATTGAAGTGCCTTTCTCCTAGCATGCTGACTCACTGCAGAAGCCTAAATGTAATACATGTACATTGTAATCATTAATAAAATAAGACATACTTGGACTTCATCTTCAATATTAGATGGAAGGAGAAGTCCCTCATCTCGTGCTTAAGAAATAAGGTAAAATAATAATATAAAAAAAAACCTAATTCATACCAACACTAATCATCTTTTTGCAACATTTCTCAAAAGACTGACGTATCTCTTCATTTTGAGGATCCTGAATGAAAGGACACTGGAGAAGCCTCACAAGACTTGTGAGAAGATTAATATAGACATCCTGATGAATCTTCATAGTATAAAGAACAAGTAAATATAAAACTTCAAAATAAATTTATTACCTTGACACCATGAGTAGCTAATGGGGAGCTAAAGTAGCTGGTGAGTGTCACTGGAATATGACAGGTCACATAGTTTGTGTATTGTTCTTCACCAGTACAGTTTTCTTTGTAAACAGCATCTATATCTTTGGCCATGTTAGCAAAAAGATCCCACATATAATCTTTAGTGAATGTTTCTTTATTGTCTACTTCAGCATCAATGTAACAGTGAAGCAAAAAATCCAAGTACTCTCTTTTAACCTATAAAACAGACTCAATCAACAGTTACAGCTCACTATTCATACTTCTGGAATACACTTTGGATGTGTGATAACTTTAACAATATCGTCAAGTGGTAGTAATGAATGACATCTCATTTCTGTATTAACATTTTTGCCTTCAGTGCATATAGTGAGGAGACGCAGTAAATTTAAGTGGTAAATTAAATTTGATGTTGGTAATGCAGTCCCTTGCTCTTTCTTCATAAGGTCTATGAATACTTCAAATGGTTGATCATGAAAGAAAAGAAGAACATCATCACCAGCATTAGCAATCTAAATTAATAGAAGAAACAAATGATATGAATAATGAGTGTTTTAACCATTACCTCTGCCATGACTAAGTCTTGAGAGCGTTTAACAGGCTGCCCATGAACTTTCATTATGGTCTGAAGAAACTGCAAATAACGTATGTCTCGTCCTTTTTCAATACAATGCAAAAAGTACTGAATTTCAGATTCCTGAACTTCTTGACACAAAGCAGCATTATCCTTAAACACCTCAGTAAGAGTAACAACTTCAACAGTCTATATTAACAAGACATTAAAATATGTTATCGTATTACTAACTGGATGGCCACTGTTAATAAATAGCTTAAGGTTACGATGCAAGAGTAACTGATTTGCTTCATTGCCGCGACAAAAGTTCTGCAAGAATTTGTGTCCCTGATGCATTATTTCAGACATTTTTGTATCATACTAACAAAGTAGATACACATAAATAGCATAACAACAAAATTACTTACTGCTTTGTTATAGGGAACTTGTAACAGATCAAGTATCACTTGTAATGCTCCCATGTTCTTTAAAAGCCTTTGCTCAAAACTTCTATCATCACCATTACAAATATCAGTTAAACTACTCAAAATCTGAAAGAAAATATTAAAAAATAGCTACACGTTCATGTATTGCTGCTTGTACTTTCAAGACTTGATCATATTTAGGTGATAAACTCTTTACTGAGCCTTGATTTCCATCACTGCCCTCACTTTGAACTCTTGGCTGTAAAAATTGTATAGACTGTAAATGAATAGAACACAAAACTATAGAAAACCTGTTTCTTAATTGACATTTTTGTGTCCTTTGATGATGACACATAGTCAAGAGCTGCAGCAACTGTAGCTTCTAATTCAGCTTGAGGACCACCTTTACTTAACCTGCGCTCGTGTTTTTTCTAAAATAAATAGAATTCCATTTTAAGTGATACAAAAATAAATGTACAGACGTACCTTTTTACCAACAACTAAGTCTTCTGTCTTTGTAATCCACAATTCAGCTTCGTCAACTAAAGTCTTTAGCTTTTCCAGATTTGTACGAATTCGTTGATAATTTGATTTCTCTTTTTGCGAAACTAATAATTGAACCTATATATAACATACAACATAAATGTAGTAATACATGTAGTTTAATGTCCATTGCAATTAACCTGCGTGAAACATTTGGTCAATTCAGATCGCTGGGAGAAATGACGTGTAATTAGTTTAAGAGCTTGCAAGGAAAGATGTGGATTTTTCGACATTGACATTTGAAGAAGAACGCGCAACAATTGTTTACCCTGACTGTCATCTAAATCCATTTTCAGATCTTGGCTAGTTGAAAAAAAAAATAATCAAATTTGACATTTCATAATACTTACTTTCCACGAAAAATGACCTCAAATTGTTTCAAAATGTCGACAGAATCAAGGTCAGATGGATCAGGAGACTGATTACTGTTTCCATCTGATAACAAGCTAAACTCTTTCTTATAGATGACGAGCAGGTTAGTAATACGAAGATCTAGTCTAACATCCATTATGAAGTCAATTATTTCCAATATTTTTCTTTTTGTATTAATGACAGCAGGGTCAGATCTCTCATAATCCGACTAAAGAAATAATCATAATAAAGTGCTAAAAATAGTGCCAACCTTATGAGAATCATTTCCATCAAGAGACTCAGAACGAGGAAAAAAATGAGCTGCTGATGACCCAACAAGAGAACCAAGGACACCACGTGAAGAAGTCAATCCTGAAGTAGTTAAAAAATGACTATGATGAATAGGAGTAGCTTCCCGATTATCTAATCCATCAAGCAAAACATAAGTCAGTGAAAGGAGTTTGCTGAAATCATAAAAACCAAAGTAAACCATCATTCGAGCTAAGCAGACAACCTAATGTATGATGAAACAAATATATTATAAGCACTCCAACCTCTATCCAAAAGCATAAATAGATTCCATTTGCATGTACATGTACAGGTTTGTAAACATAGTGTGTAATTTGTATTTACTTCATAGGTTAGAACGTTTTGCTCTTTATCATCTAATTTCCAGACGCTTCTCTCATGAAGATAACTTTCGACAAAATTGGTTGTGCCTCTAAGAATTGACTCTTCTTTGTGTTGTTGCTGAAACATAGATCTTCTCCGCGAAACATCACTGGACAAGAACACACAACAAATTTTAAAATGAAGAAATCAAGACAAACCTTTTATCAACTTCTGCTGTAGTTTCGTCATCATCTGATACACTTTCAGATTTATCTGCCATACTACAAGATGATAATTATATGGTGTACATGTATAAGAAGAATATGGCATAATGTTACTTTTCTTTCCAAGGGCAGTAGTCATGAAGGACAACATCAGTTGGTATGTGGTCCCATAAACGAGAGTAACCAACTGGATTCACCACTTCTTGCGGGGAAGTATCCAGGTAAACACAATACATAATGCGACAAAAAGCTGCCCTTAGGCTATACGTTAGGTTACAATTTTCCATACAACTATCAACGGAGAAGGAAATAAAATTAGCTAAGCATGAACAACATACTTTAATACAAGTCTTATAGGAAGCTGCCTCTTTACTTCATTTATTCCCAAGTATTGGCGATTAAAACACATTTGAGCAAACAAATCCAATTGTGCCCTAAAATATTCTAAAACTTTACTATCAGATGGATTTCCATGAGCAGCACTATCAGCTATTAATTCTAGAGGTCTTTCACAAAGTTCATCATCATTAGAATAATGCAAAACCATTTTTTTGCTCTCTCGATCCACACTACTACAAGGTATAAAAAAATTCATACAAAATTTCACAAGTACATCAAAACAAAGAAACTAACACTAGCTTCATTAGGATATCAGAGTGCTCCGGTTTTAAAACAACCTCACAAACCATTCCTTGTACTTTCTGTATGGCAGTTCCCTTTGATACACAAAGATCACCTAAATAAGTCAAAAACCTAAAAAATGGTAGTAAGTCATAAAGTAAAATTTATTTTTACTTTGGATCTTGGCTCTTCTTCAATAAGTTAACAAAAGTTTCGATCTCTGTTTCCCGAATATGAGTCTCCAAAAGTTTGACATTATCATTAACTAATGCTGCTAAAGTATCTTCAGCTCTTATGTTATACCCAATCTGACTCTGCATGACTTGAAAAAATGTTTCTGCAATATGTTCCTGTAGACACAGAACAGAGGCATTATTGGCTGTTGGAGAACATGCTACAACTACACTCTACATGATGTTCAACAAAACTTGATCACACATACCTGATTTTTCCTATAATTGTTCTGTGTTTGTTCAATGACTCTATAGCAAAGCTGATACATGTATCGAAGTGACTCATGCTTCTGTTCACTAAGATCTGCCATCTCAAATAATAGCCGGCTACCTTCCTTATTAATAGGGAGTGGTACACTTAGGAGTCGAAATATCTGTCAAATACATAAAAACGATGCATTTAGCAAGAACATACAAAAGTAAAGGTGATAAAATCTACAAATCCATCATATACATGTACATGTACATTGTATATAGTGCATAAAAGATATAGTGCATAAATTTGTGTGGTCTAAATTTATACATGATAGAGTATTTTTACTCTATGTACATGTACATGTACAAGCATAAGATTATTTTGCACTCACACACACACACACACATGTCTCTTTGACAATCATATCTACTCTTGATTATACTGTACGTTACATGTCATGTACTTCTTTTAGCAATTGTGTCTTTGAGAGGGATAAAAAATTAAACATCTGTTTGGGGTAGTGATTTGTTTAATTATTTCATAATTTTGCTCATGAAATACCCAAATACTGATGTAAATGTATACCGTACGGTTGGTAAATTTCGTGGGGTATTAATTTTCGTTGATTTCGTGGTTAACTTTTATCCACAAAATTTTAACCCCTACTCACCCACACATAAAAACTAATTAACGGGCCATGCAGAGCTCTAACTACCATTTCCAAGCCAGTGGAGGAGCCAAAGTCTTTGTCTATTACTCCATATTCCACTATAAGCCATGTGTTGGAAGCTAGTCCAGTAGATCCAAGTGAAAAGAAGTTTGCTAACTGCCATCCACAAATATTTGTACCCACGAATATTAGCTTCTAAGGACATTTTGGAGAAAACACGAAATTTTGGACCCTCAAATATTACCAACCGTTCGGTATGTACAATAACAATACTCATTGCTTTAAATAAAGAAATCTAGCAAGTAAACTTCCTGTAATTCAATTACTTACAAGATAATGGGTCAATATGCACATACATGTACATGTATACACTATAATGTAGGTGTATAGTATAGAAAATAAAATGCCATCAAATTCATTCAAAAAAATACTGTGCAAAGTTTATGAAAATATTCATTCTTCATACATGTACATGTACTGTAAAACTTTAATGTTGTATACATGCAAGCACTATGACTATGTACATGTACACTGTATGTACATGTACATGCATGTGGGCGCGCCGAAAACGTAATTTCTTAGCGCAATTAAAAATATTGTCAAGTAGAGTCAAAGGTGAGAAAAGAACCCATTAATTTCCAAGTTACGTGTAGCTGTACACGTACATGTATGCTAAGAATTTAGCAGGGATGGGTGTCTATTTGAAGTGGTACACTTGTTCATACTAAATATAAGAGCTACAAGTACAAATAACTTCTTTTCATGCTGCTTGTAAAAATGTCATAAAAAGCTGGCAACTTCATTATAAATAGAATTGGCTACATTTATCTCATGGCATAACAATAAAAGAAAGGAAGGCCTGCATGTACATGTACATGCATAAAAAATTTGGAACACGACTTAAGCAATGTTGATATTGCTCATCCTACAAGCATTCCAACTTTTCAAAGGTACACATACACATACAGTACATGTTGAATTCATCAACAGCATATAAAGAAGTAGCCAAAGTACATGTACATGTATCTATAGTCACACTCATGCAGGCTAACAAAGCATTTAGGATCATAAATATGTACTGCATAGCAAGTATAACCGAAAATTTTTCTGGCCAAACAGTTTCATGAATCTGTCCAAAATTTTTTTTTGTTTTAATTTTTGGAACTTCTTACTATATTTGACCATGTTAAACTGTCTTTTATTTAAGTTTCATAAATTATTTTCTTGAATATTGAAAAAATAAAATTTGCAAGAAATTTGGGCCAAAAAATTTGTAAATACATGTAACTAATGATAAATTCTGTCCTTGACAAATTTTGACAACAAAATGAACAAACTACAACTTAAATAAAAAATTACTCAATTTTAAGTGACCCACATGCATGTATAATATTATGTATATGCATTGATTAATTACATTAATTTTGTGATCAAAATTAAAATTGCAATTAATACAGTAAATAACATTGCATGACTGTAGGAAAATCAATAGTACTATTATTATACCAGTACATGGTACAATTGTAAGAAAATAGTGATATAAAAGTGGGAATTTTTGTGATATAGACAAAGTTACCCTGAGTTTATTAAAAATATCCATACATGTGTACACATCCAGCCAGTATTGAGTCATAATTAAAGTAAACCAAGTAATGTATTTGTTGTTAGTCATAAAATTTACATTTCCTCGTTGCAAATGCAAACCCATACTCATACTCATAACTTACAGCTTTCAAAACATTTTGCTCTCGGATTAATTTCTGCCTGTCTCGATCAGGCTTGCCTTGAACATGAAGTGCCTTTTGAGTTTCACCAGAATTTTCCTTTCTAACTGTAAAGTACACAAGGTCTTCCAACAGTTTAATAACATTCCTAAAAACTCATCAAGCTATTGACGCCACAAACAAAATGGACACACTTTCTTTGAGTTGGTTGTAAATGATGTCCTCCTTCCATTATATCAGCTGCTGAAGACAATGCCTTTGCAGCATCATTAGCAAAATCTAAGTCACGAACTTCTTGAGGACTAACATGAACAATAGCAAAGGCTTCTTTATCTTCCCTTAAAGTAGCCAGCCCTAACTGTTACCATTGTACACAAATAAACTTTCACACAATGAAATTAATAAAAATTACTTTAAACATCACAGGAGATTTGCTTTCTCTATCAATTAATATGTTAGTTGCATGAACCCAGGTTAAGGTTCGAGCATGACGCAGACGAACATAGGAACTCCTACAAAGTAAAATGAATGATTCAAGGGCACTATCATTAGCATGTTTTTTGTTCTATGTACATGTATATAAGACAAAAATAATTACTTGTACAAATTAGGGAGTGACATCACAAGCAACAAATTACATATGCATGTACGTGACTTTACCTTGGTACCTGCCCATCATGTGGCTGTATCGTAGTGGAATCCAATTCAAATATAGTAAAAATTGGCTCTTCAGGCACATCTTGATCTGTGCAGAGATAATAAACATCATCGGTATCAGATCCTCTTAATTTAGCACGAGTTGGATCTGCGGTTGTGTCTGGATCTTCACGAGCCGCGAGATATGTATCAGTTGCCAAATGTTTAAAACGATATAGATAATTCCAGTGCCCTGCTCCTCCACGACAAGGATCATGATGAACAACTTCTACCTCCCACAAGGCTTTAGAACTTGTTGCATCAGTTTTTGTAGCCCTGGCAGAGAAGCGAAGAAATACCTGAAGTTGCCCTTTGAGCTTATCAAGCTTATCACATGTCAAAAATTTTTCTTGCTCTGCATGAAACAATCTAACTACGTCTCCCTATAAAACAGGATACATGTACAGTGTATGTATCAATTGATTATTATGTAAATGCTAACCCCCCGTAAAATGTCTTCCTTGTCTTCCTTATAGTCCATAAATAGTTGTATCTTCCAGCTAGTATGGTCTGCAATAGCATTAACCTAAAGTATTTCAGTATAACAATATCATAAAAATATAAAGAACCTCTTTGCAGTCATCATGATCAGGCAGGCTGAGCTCACTAACATGAAGTGCCTGATTGGCTGTGATTGCTGTTAGTACAACTTTATCTCCAATAATTACCTATAATAATTGGAACTAACAATAGTTCAGATAACAAAATACAACTAACATTATCTCCTGATGTCCTTAGTTTATACAGTGGTGTTATATAGAACCAAGCATTCTAGCATACAATCATAATAATGGAACCAAACCATGTTGTACTATACTTCTGAGCCTTGGAAATCCAGTGATACTTTCATTGCTTTTTTCTCAACTTGTGCTGATGATCGTTTAGTGACAGTAAGAAACTTGTTACTCTTCACATGACGAAGCTATGTGTATAATATTGAAATTATGATTATGTTTCAAAGCTTAGCAAGAAAGTTATTACTACATTATTGTAAACAAATGGTAAGGAAAATGTGCTGTTAGAAGTCTTAAAAGATCAAAGAATTCCTCAATAATGTGAAACTATAAATTATGACTATTTAAGGATACCTGTATCATTGTAGTTCCATATTTAACTGGTTGCCCCCATTGCTTTTCCGATTCGATCCGTGATTGCTCCCTTTCTTGATCAGCAGCAGTTTGAAGCTTCTGCAAAATAACTACATCAGGCATGCTTTTTGTGCTCTGTGTGGCCTTTTTAAACTGTTCTTGTGCTCCATAACGTTGCATCGGGTAAATCTTAAACAAGCAATCTAAATGAAATTGTAGAAGGCATACGTAAACAATAACTCAATATGACTACACACAAAATACCTCTGAATTTCATAGGTGGATTAAGTGGGGTGCCACTTGTTGGCCTAACCACAACACGGTCATCAACCAACCTATTAAACGGCAATTTACATACACAGACTAATGATGTTAAAAATATTAGGATAATGAACAAAATGAGACCTATTCCCGAGTCAATTCATTAGCTATCATAAATGCATAACGTACCCTAGTGTACTAATAAATCCAGATACATCTCCCTCAGCGTACAGAGAAATGGTGTCACCTATGTGAAGGAAGGATGAAGTAGCTTGGTGATCGGACTCTACTCTTAGAGCCATTATCTGCTGTCTTCTCGCTGTGTTTGTTCTTCCTAATGAGAAGAGGTTCTAGGAAGTAATTCATAGAATGCAGATAGACCACACCTCTCAATTAATAAACTTAACCGGTCTAACTGTAGTCTCCGGTAGTCTCTGTGCTAAGACCCTCCGAAACGAGACATGCCTTTGGATCTCTTATTGTTTCGTGCTGACCAAGGTGGCAATCCAGATTTGATGAGAGACATGCAGAAAAAGAGATTCAAAGATGTAATTCACGTCGACAAAGTGGTTGAAATGGATACTCAATGGAGAAAGTGTAAGCAGAGACACTTTTAATAGTAGCATAAAATAATGAATGCCATTATTAATGTTGATAAAAATAATTAAAAGCTTGATATGGAATACCGTATAGCGGGTTTTATTCGAGGATAATAAATTTCGTGAATGACCCGTATCAGGAAGTTTGCAGAATTAAATTTCGCCAATTTCCACTATTTTGCCATCTTGTACTGTTTAAATTGATTTTCAGGTAATTTAATTTCGCAAGTCTTGAAAAATCCATGAAATTTTTTATCCTTGAAAATAACCCGCTATATGGTATTTGTGTAGCTTGGGTAATTGGGTAGTCAGGTTTTGTGTTGTATTTTAATTGTGTATTTTATGTGTCATGTCATGTAAATACTGCAAACAATATATTTTAACACTAAAAATCCTAGACTTTCCTTCATTGCCCTAATCCCTCTCTTTCATTAATTCCTGTCTTTCTGTCCTTTTTGTCTGTGTATTTTAAGTTTGAGGTTATTATTATTAGTCACTATTGGCAGTTATTATGCACTCTATGCCAACATGAACAACGAAATGTACTAGTCATGTGTATTATATACATATGGAGAGAGACTTCTGTTATATGTTTAGAACGTCCTGGTTCCTCTTAAGATTGGTTTACATCTTGTCTATACTGTGCCAATGAAATTTTTAAGTGCTGTAAATTTTTATTGAAGTAATGCCCAAAATTATATATGCATTTATTATCGGGCTTTTCCTCTTTTGAGGGTCATTGTGATAATAATTTTAATATTCCATCTTTGCCAAAGCATTATTGGTGACAATTAAGGGAAAGCCTGTTTGGTAAAACTTGAATGGAGAGCAAATTTAGAGAGTTATCGACCCTGTTTTAATTTTCTAAAAATATGATATAATGTTACTGCACTATATATTTTGTTCCGCACTGTATGCAGTGACTTCTGTTTATTTTTCACATGTATTCTTAAATGGTTGTAAAATTCATATCATTGTGCATGTCTTTTATTAGTTTCTTTGTAAAATGAAGATGTATAATATAATAATTATTCTTACATCAAATTAGAAGCCTCATATCTATATCCATTAAGGAATGGAAGCCTGTGTAAATTATACAAGCATTTGTAGAGTTCCCAACTTCTATTTATACATGACTGATTTAAGTCAAGAGGTTATTTGTATTATATTGATACAAATGATATATTTAAAGTTAACTCTTGTATAGCTGAAGAATTTATTTTCAAACCTCTTCATTGTATTATTGACTTTTAATTGCAGTGCGTTTTGAATCTGATAATTGGAATAAATTAAAGAACCATTGTAGCAAGACAATTGGAGAGAAGATGAAGGTATTTATTATCAGTCTTGATTTTGTTATGAACAATGTATTGATTTTATTATTTAGAAAAAAGAACCCATTGGTGAATCTGCTGATGTACCTGAAAGTCTTGTTACAAAATTAGATAGTATTACACCAGATGAAATTAAAGTAATTACACTTGCACATGTACATGTATGTATATAATGTAACCTTTGCTTAATCCTGCACTGTAGTCACTGACTGTTACTCAAATCAAACGATTGCAACAGCTTATTGAGGAGGCCAGCGATAAAAACTCAACAAAAAGAAAAGAGCTTGAAGAAACTCGTTCGTTTCATTTAGCCCAGATTGGGAACTCTCTTCATCCGTCTGTTCCAATATCTGATAATGAGGTCTGGGGTTTGTAACATATGCTGTAAAATATTTTTACAATTGTTTATACCATCATAATCATTGTTTTGAATAACATCAGAATTGTCCATTTATAGTATGGTGCAGTGCATACATGTACATGTATGTATATGTACATGTAGATGTAAATGTATCCTACATGCAGTTATTACTCTGCTGTGCTTACATCATGTTCTACTTGTTCATCAATGATTGCTTTGACAAAAGTCCTTTTCCTTTTTAGGACAATAATCGAGTTGAGCGTACATTTGGTGATGCATCTATTCGTAAAAAGTACTCTCATATGGATTTGGTGGTGATGGTGGATGGTGTGGATATGCAAAGGGGAACTACTGTGGCAGGAAATCGTTGCTATTACTTGAAGGGGCCATTGGTGTTTTTAGAGCAAGCATTAATACAATTTGCATTGTCTACTTTGTCAGAAAAAAGTTTTGTTCCTTTGTATACACCATTTTTTATGAAAAAAGAAGTAATGCAGGAAGTGGCTCATTTAAGTGATTATGAGGAGATGCTTTACAAGGTTAATAATTGTAGTTTCATAATTGCATTTTTTATATAAATTTTTAGGTTATTGGCAAGAGCTCTGAAATTGTGGATGACAGTAATGTGGAAGAAAAGTATCTTATTGCAACTAGTGAACAACCGATTGCAGCTTTTCATAGGTTGTGAACTTATGATAAGGATATTTGATAGTAATGGTGTAATGTTGATATTATTTTTATAGAGGTGACTGGTTAGATCCTCAAACATTGCCTTTGAAATATGCTGGACTGTCATCTTGTTTCCGTCAGGAAGTTGATTCACATGGTAGGGATACTAGAGGAATATTCAGAGTGCATCAGTTCCAAAAGGTATTGGTACATTTTACCATTTGATTACCATAATAACTGTTTAAGTGTTTGAAAGTATTTCAAAATTGAATTTTGAGCTTACGTGTACACTTGTATGTATGTATTACTTTAGATTTGGGGTAATGGACTTTTGTTACTTATTACTAGAAGTAGTGCATTTGTTTTGAAAGAGCAGCAGGGCACATTAAACTTTCAGTGCTATTTGAAAAAACCCACTGACCATTGTGTACACTAATGAATAAATAAAATAAGTTATAAGATTATGAGATGACACAATGGCACAGCCTGATTTGTGCATGCTTCTGCAGATATCCTGGGTATGTTATTATCAGGAGTACTCTTGTCTTGATGTACATGTATCATTGTTGTAGGTTGAACAATTTTGCTTAACTAGTCCTCATGATGATGTTTCTTGGAAGATGTTTGATGAGATGATTTCAAATGCAGAATTTTTTTACCAGCAGCTTGGCATTCCTTATCGAGTTGTTAATATAGTTTCTGGTTTGTTTCACTTTTTGAGATATTATTATAGTAAGTGTTTTATTTGTAGGTGAGTTAAATCTTGCGGCAGCTATGAAGTATGATTTGGAGGGATTGTTTCCTGGATCTGGAGCCTATCGAGAATTAGTTAGCTGTTCTAACTGCTTGGACTATCAAGTGAGAAGGCTTCAAGTTCGTTTTGGTCTAACAAAAAAGATGAATGCACAAGTAATTCTGAAATACGCAATTATGATTATAAAGTTATCTTTACAGGCTGATTATGTCCATATGCTTAATGCTACAATGTGTGCAACAACTCGTACCATTTGTGCTATTTTGGAAAATAATCAAACTGAAGAAGGTGTTGTAGTCCCTGAAATTTTACGTCAATACATGCCTCCAGGTATATTTTGTCATTTTAAGAAATGTTTGTCAGGAATATATTTATTTTTAGCATACAAAGAATTTATTAAATTTGTTCAAGCTGCACCTATTCATGAACCCATCACAAAAAAGCAGGAAAATCAAATGGCAGGCATGGAAAAGGATAATGAAGCACAGTCATAAATTACAAATCTTTTTTATGAGCTCTTCGAAAGCCTGTTATTTTACTCCTGAGAAAGTCCAAACTTGTCATTCATTTTATGCCATGTCAGATCCGTGAAATATTTCTTATTCTGTGGATTTATAACTCTCAATAATGCCACGGTAGGGGTGTATTCACGGAAGGGGCTGGCTCCGAGACTAGTGCTGAGGGTGCTTGCATTGGGTAAATCTTAAACAAGCAATCTAAATGAAATTGTAGAAGGCATATTTAGACAATAACTCAATATGATTACACATAAAATACCTCTGAATTTCATAGGTGGATTAAGTGGGGTGCCACTTGCAGGCCTAACCACAACACAGTCATCAGCCAACCAATTACACGGCAATTTACATACACAGACTAATGATGTTAAAAATATTAGGATAATGAAGAAATGAGAAGTATTCCCCAGTCAATTTATTAGCCATCATAAATGCATAACCTAATAATAATCCAGATACATCCCCCTCACAGCGTACAGAGAAATGGTGTCACTTATTAGTCTCGCGTAGCCAGACCCATTTTGACATTTGGACGGACTAGTCACCTATGTGAAGGAAGGATGAAGTAGCTTGGTGATCGGATTCTACTCTTAGAGCCATTATCTGCTGTCTTCTCGCTGTGCTTGTCCTTCCTAGGCCTAATGAGAACATTGAGAAGAGGCTCTAAGAAGTAATTTACTAATTTATAGTCAGACCACACCTTTCAATTAATAAAGTTGACCAAGACCCTCAAACACGAGACATGTCTTTGGACCTCTTATTGTTTCGTGCTGACCAAGGTGGCAATCCAGATTTGATGAGAGACATACAGAAAAAGAGATTCAAAGATGTAGTTCACGTGGACAAAGTGGTTGAAATGGATACTCAATGGAGAAAGTGTAAGCAGAGACACTTTTTAATAGTAGCATGAACGAATGAATGAATGCCATTATTAATGTTGATAAAAAATAATAAAAATCTTGATATAGAATATTGTGTGGCTCAGCTAATTTATTTGGGTAATGAGTAGTCAGGTTTTGTGTTGTTTTTTTGCGTAAGTGTGCATTTTATGTGTCATGTCATGTAAATACTGCTAACAATTCATGTAGATATTATACATGTAATTGTATAATTTGATGCTAAAACTCCTAGACTTTCCTTCATTGCCCTGATCCCTCTTTCATTAATTCTTGCTTTCTTCTCTTTGTATTTTGAGTTTGTTTCTTCTTTAAGTTATGTACATGTACATACTGTACCAATTAAATTTTTAAGGGCTGTAAATTTTCATTAAAATAATGCCGAAAATTTTCTATGCAGCTATAATCCAACTTTTTAGCTTTTGAGAGTCTTTGTGACTGTATATACTGTATGTCCTCGAATAGACCCTGCACATCAATTATGACCTGCCCTCGAATAGTCCCTGCACCTGTCAAGTTTGAGTGAAATAATAGTCCCCCTCTAATTGTACCCGCATAGTTTAATTTTCAATAAATTTTGGGCGTGGCCTTTTTGCTGTGATTATGGTGCGGAGTATGCCAAGGAACATGCAGTGAGCCTGAGCAAATAGTTGATCCCTTGTTTGACCTAGTTGCGAAAGCACTGTAAACAGTCAAGCTGGGCATTCTCTCGTGAGTTAAAAAGCTTCCAGTAGCTAGAGCTGCTCTCTAAACATCTCGAGGTAGTAAAGCAAGACTTTTCCTAACAGAAGAGAAAGGCCTCACAGATTAACTGATAACATTATCAGCCTCAGATGAATTATTATTACCCGCCCTCGCATAATAACCTAATATTATCTTTACTGAGATTAATAGTAATCGTGGGGTCTATTCAAGGAAATACGGTATCTCAGCTGAGTTTGACCCAAGAAAAACTGGAATAACTTTTTATGGGAATGTAGGATAAGGATGAAACTTTTACAGGTTCTTAGTTGCCCAATGCCAGATTGCCATCACAGGATCTCAGGTCTTGGGTCTCTCAGCCCTTGGGAACCCTGAGAACTGGATGCTGCCTTTAAATCCAATGGCATACCAAAATGACGTTTTATGACAATTTATCTACATCATAGTTTACATTAGAACAGTGAATAAGTTATAGTGAATAACAAACTTTAAATTTATGCATTGATAAATGTACATGTAACCCTTGAAAAAATTTTTACTGTATATGATGGTAACATGTATTTTTGTTTTACACTGTATGTGACTTTCTGTTTATTTTTCCACATGCATTCTTGAAGGGTTGTAAAATTGATATCATTGTGCATGTCTTTTATATGTTTCTCTGTAAAATAAAGATTTGTTAAATAATAGTTTTTAGATGAAATTAGAAGCCTCAGATCTACATGCATTAAGGAAGTGGAATCGAAGCCTGTGTACATGTACATGTAGTGTTTATAGAATCCCCAACTTCTATTTATAATGAACTAATTAAATTGAGAGATTATTTTTGTATTATATTGATGAGCAGTGTACAAAGTACTACAAATGTGCATATAAATGAGATATTTAAAGCTAACTCTGTTTGTATTGCTGAAGCATTAAATTTATTTCCAAACCTCTTCATTTTCATTGTATTATTGACTTTTAATTGCAGTGCGTTTTGAATCTGATAATTGGAATAAGTTAAAGAACCTTTGTAGCAAGACAATTGGAGAGAAGATGAAGGTATTTATTATTATTAGCTTTAATTGTGTTATGAACAATGTATTGATTTTATTATTTAGAAAAAAGAACCCATTGGTGAATCTGCTGATATACCTGAAAGTCTTGTTTTGAAATTAGATAGTATTACACCAGATGAAATTAAAGTAATTACACTTGCACATGTACATGTATGTATATGTAACCTTTGCTTAATCCTGTACTGCAGTCACTGACTGTTACTCAAATCAAACGATTGCAACAGCTTATTGAGGAGGCCAGCGATAAAAACTCAACAAAAAGAAAGGAGCTTGAAGAAAGTCGTTCGTTTCATTTAGCCCAGATTGGGAACTCTCTTCATCCGTCTGTTCCAATATCTGATAATGAGGTCTGGGGTTTGTAACATATGCTGTAAAATATTTTTACAATTGTTTATACCATCATAATCATAGTTTTGAATAACATCACAATTTTCTATTTATAGTATGGTGTAGTGTATACATGTACATGTATGTATATGTACATGTAGATGTAAATGTATCCTACATGCAGTTATTTCTCTGCTGTGCTTACATCATGTTCTACTTGTTTATCAATGATTGCTTTGACAAAAGTCCTTTCCTTTTTAGGACAATAATCGAG